GATGTTGTACTTCGATGTTTCAAATGAAAGCTAGCTTTCGACTGTGTCGAAGCAGCTAGTCGAAGTTCAAGAGACAGCTGTATTGACGGAGTCGAATACAACATATAGGTTTTTTGAAATGTAATTTGTAACTTTGTATTTTAGATTTTGTACGTTTTGAGCTTGTGTCGGTTGTATAGTTTGGGCCAGGGCCTGAGTTGCCTATATAATAAGCTTACTATGATATAAACATAAAACTTCACTCCATCTTATTTTTATAATTCAGTTTACAATTTTTTCTCTTCTTCTTCTCCCTCATTCATATTTCTTGAAAACATTTGTTCTAACAAATTGGTATCAAGGAACCCGGTTGTGATTTAGAGAGAATATGTAATGGAAAATGGAATAACAACATCAATACAATTTCTAGAGAACCTACCAGTTTTCAAAAGGGAGATCTATGAACAGTGGATCGTGTAGATGAAGGTCATCTTTAGATTTCAAGACGTGTCTAAAATTGTAAATAATGGAGTACCGGCATTGGAAGCGAATGAAGATGATGTTCAGTAAGCTCTGCGTAAGGAACAAAAAAAGAAAGATGGAAAATGTTTGTTCTTAATCCACCAATGTGTGAATTCTAATGTGTTTGGAAAGATTGTTGAAGTAGAAACGACAAAGAAGGGTGGGACAAGTTGAAAAACTTGTATGGTGGAGATGAAAAACTTAAAAGGGTGAAGTTGCAGACATTGAGAAAAAAATTCGCAATGACTCAGATGAAGGAAGATGAATCGGTCTTAGAATATATTTCACATACGGTGTTGCTGGCGAACCAGATGAAGTCGTATGGTGAATCTATCAATGATTTACAAAATATTGAGAAAGTATTAAGATCTCTGACTGCAAAGTTTGATTATATTATAGTGTCATTTGAAGAGTCCAATAACCTAGCTGAGATGAAGTTAGAAGAACTTCAAGCTTCATTAGTGGCTCATGAGACGAGGATGAAGTAGACGAACTCAGAAAGGGATAAGGTGGCTAAATAGGAACTATAAGCAAGATTCATTAAGAAATATAGAAAATAAAAAGGAAAAAATCTTGCTAATGATGAGAAATCAAGGAAGAATTCAATGAATCACACTGATTCGATCAAGAAAGGCATGTGGAACAAGTCTTCTGGGAAGAAAGTTGACATGAAGAAGGTGCAGTATTACAACTATCAAGGATTTGGTTACTGTGCTCGAAACTGTCGAAGAAATAAGGAACCACAAGCGAAATATAGTGATGAAGTGTAGTATGCACATGCTAAAGATTATGATTCTGATGATGTGCTACTCATGGCTAACACTCAGTCGAACAATGAGCAAACCAATATGTGGTACCTGGGTTCAGGATGCAATAACCACATGACTAGCTATAAAACCTAGTTCAACGAGCTAGATGAATCAGTCGAGAAAGTGATAAAGTTTACAAATGGCAGGTATATCACATTAGGTGGAAAATGAGATATTTCTGTTGTCAGGAAGGATGTTCGAAAAGCCAACATCAATGATGTGTTGTATGTACCATCAAAGACAAGTAACTTGATAAATATAGGTCAGTTACTTGCAAAAAGGTACAACATGAAGATAGAAAAGAATCATATGAAGGTGTATAATAGTAATGACAGGCTAATTTCGAAGGCACCCTTGGAAGACAACATGACTTTCAAATTAGAGATCAACCTAGTTGATCACAAATGTCTTGCTTCAACTATAGAAGAAGACAAGAATTGTCCATGGCATCATAGGAATGGATGTCTAAACTTCAGAAGTTTAGGTGTGCTCAACCAGAAGAAGATGGTGTATGTCTTACCTTAGGTGAAAGAACCAAGTCATGTGTGTGGGGAATGTTGCAAAGCAAAGCAGACTAGAAAAGCATTCAAGCATGACTTGCTAATGAGGTTGAAGGAAAAACTATATTTAGTTTACTCTAATGTATGTGGACCATTTGAAGTGATGTCAGATGGAGATAACTACTACTTTCTAACCTTTATAGATGAATTCACTAGATATATGTGAATTTATATTATTGAAAGGAAGAGTGAGGTATTCACACAGTTCAATAAGTTCAAATTGTATATTGAAAAGCAAAGTGGATGCAGGCTGAAGAAATTGAGAACTGATGGTGGCGGTAAATACACCTCTCGAGAATTTGCTAGATTTTACAATGAGGAAGGTATAGAGCATGAGGAAGTATTTGAACTCCAAGAGCTTAGAATAAGAGAATAGATAGCTTCCGGATCGAAACAGGTTTCATAAAGTAAGTCTCTAAACATGAAGTGTATGTCAATGATGCAGACATGGTCAGTCAAATCACCATATACCCGTATGTAGATAATTTGTTGATTACAGGTACATATGAAGTTGAGATAAGAAAAGTCAAGTTGAAGTTGATGCAAGAGTTTGAAATGTGCGACCTAGGTAATTTGTCATATTTCTTAGGGATGGAGTTCAAAGACACGGGTGAAGGAGTTTTCCTGCACCAAAAGAAGTATGCCTAAGATATCTTGAAGAGGTTAAAGATGAGCAACTGTAATACAATTGTTACACCATAAAAAAAAAACAAGAGCAAAGTTGAGAATGAGACGAACGATAAATTTGTAAGTGCAGATTGTTACACCAGGCCAGACATTTGTCAAAATGTCGGATTGTTAAGTAGATTCATGGAGAAACCCCAAGAATGTCATCTCACTACAATTAAGAGGGAGTTGCGATACATAAAGGGTATGATTAATCATGGTGTACTGATGTTGAGCTAGATAAAGACTAACACAGATGTAAAAGTATATGGCTACACTGATTTAGATTTTAGTGGAGATCAAGACGAAAATAAGAGTACTGCAGGATACATATTTATGATCGTGTGAAGCTGAGTACATGATTGCATCATATGCAACATGTCAAGCAACATGGATAGATATGTTGCTTGAAGAGCTCAAGTTAATGGAACCTATGAAAATGAAGTTGCTTGTTAACAACAAGCCAACTATCGATCTAGCGAACCATCCAGTGTGCCATGGTCGAAGTAAGCATATAGAGATGGGATATTATTTTTTGAGGGATCAAGTTAACCGAGGAAAGCTTGAACTTGAGAATTGTAATACATAAGTGCAACTAGCTTATATACTCACCATATCCCTGAAGAAAGTCAAGTTTGACGAGTTGAATAGAAGCATCAGGATGAAAAATCTTGAGAACATGAATTAGGGGGCATGGTAGAAGTTGTAATTAAATGCTCTGATCGAAAGCTAGCTTTCAATTGTGTTGAAGCAACTAGTCGAAGTTCAGGAGTCAACTGTATTCGAAGAAGTTGAATACAATATATAGTTGTGTCGAAATGTAATTTTGTATTTTATATTTTGTACGTTTTGGGCTTGGACCGGTTTGTATAGTTTATGTCAAGACTTGAATTGCGTATATAAAAGGCTTTGTACAATGTAAACATAGATCTTCACTCAATTCTAATTTTCATAATTCATTTTACAGTTTTCTTTTTTTAAAATCTTTTTTCTCTCTTCTTCTTCTCCCTCATTCATCTTTTCTGAAAATATTTGTTCCAACCGATATTATTCTAAATTTGAAAACAATATTTTTTTCTTAAAAAAATTAATATAAATTCTTGCGGTCTTCTAGACACAATAATTCCTAAAACAATTGTTCCATGTGTGTATGAAAAGAAAAGACTAAAATCACAACGAGTTGTTGAACTAGATAAACTCTTCAAATAAATGGGTGTTTGCAAGCCGATTTGGTTCGATTATGAGAGAATCTGATACCCAAACCAATAAAATATATATGGATTGATTTGGATTGGATATCCATTTTTTTCAATAAAGCTCAAACCGATCTGACAAACAACGGATCAGATTGGATTGGATTGATAGGATACATTAAAAATAAATATACAAAAAATTTATTAAAAATAATTTATTTACACACTAAAAATATCAATTTTTTTACAATAATATATTGCATTTAATTAGTATCATTAACATATAGTACAATTAAAAAACTCATATATATATATATATATATATATATATATATATATATATATATATATATATATATATATATATATATATTCTTATTAAATAAAATTCATTTTGTCATTTTTATTTTATTTAAATAGAGATTCTTATTAAATAAAAATTCAGTAATGTTTGATTTCTCCATATTGATAATGATTATGATGTGAGAATGTTCAGACTTATGCATGCATGACTTAATCTTTGAGACAAACATATGATTACTGACAGGATCAACCAGATAGCATCCATTAATTACTCTGCACATAGTACAAGTTTTGCATTCTTTTCTTTCTTGTAATTTTCCAAACTCTTAGTTTTTTTTTTCTTTTTCTTGATACTATTGAATTCATTATATTAATGAATTCATAATATGACATATTAATATATTAATATTGGTTTGGTTTGGGTCCATGGGTAAAAATTTAGAAATCCGTTATTCGAATCAATTAATATTGGTTTTGATTGGTTTGGTTTAATATTTACTCAAACTAAAAAAATATGCGATCTAGATTGTTTTAGTTTAGATTCCGGTTTGATTTTGATTTGTCTGAAAATGAATACCACTGTTCAAATATAATTAATAATCCAGAAAAATTTAAATATAACAAATAATCATCAACATATTCCTAATTAGATATATTTCAACAGAATAATATAAGTTAACTATAGAATTTTAAGATTAAAAAAATAAATAAATAAAATTAAGGTTGAATGGAGTCTTATCCAATAGAGTTAAAGAAAATTCTATATATATTCAATATTGTGTCAACCACACGTGTGCTATTTCTTAGTGTAATGCGAAATAGTTGCCAACACCAAAGGCCTATAAATACATGACAGACTCTCACACACCTAAACAAAGCAAAAACAAAACAACATTATATATATGTTTGTGTTTGTGTTTATGTGTGTTTGTTGCTGATTTCATTTCTACACAGAATTTTGTTTCTCCATGACGAAACATGAAGAAGAGATTCATAATAATGGGGTGAACTTATCAACCCGAAGAAGCTTTGGAACAAAACTGAAATCTGGATTGAAAGAAACTTTTTTTCCAGATGATCCGTTTAGACAGATTATGGAAGAGGAAAAACCGTCTCGTAGATTGATTAAAGGGGTGCAATATTTTATACCAATCTTTGAGTGGTTACCAAATTATAATGTCAGATTATTTATCTCTGACTTGATTGCTGGTCTCACCATCGCTAGTCTCGCCATTCCTCAAGGCATTAGTTATGCCAAACTCGCTAATCTTCCTCCTCTTGTCGGCCTTTGTAAGTCTCTCTGATTATTGATCTTTTTTTTCTGTGCGCGTAATTGAATAGACTAATACTTGTTTCTAATTTTGGACAAAGTACTTTTGGATTTTGGATGATGTTAATCTGTTTCGAATGTTTTTGTTTTTTTATATAAAATCTTATGACTGTTAAATTAATTTAAGAGTTGAGATCTAATCTCAATCCGTAATTTAATTGCGGAAATTGCTAATTAGGATTAATGATTAAGCTTTTGGTGAATTGTGACATATTTTTTAGATTCAAGTTTTGTGCCACCATTAGTGTATGCTGTGTTTGGGAGTTCAAGGCACATGGCAGTTGGAACAATAGCAGCTGCATCATTGCTTATTGGTGACACAATATCAACTGTAGCAGACCATGAGAAAGAACCAGCATTGTATCTTCATTTGATTTTTACAACAACTTTTGTCACCGGTGTTTTTCAGGCTTGTTTGGGTTTCTTCAGGTAACAAGAAAAAGAAAAAAACAGAGAACTTGTCTTTTTCCTAAAATTATGTTTTTTCTGATTTCATCACATGTGAGTCTGTTTGCCTTTGTTTGGTACAAAGAAAGTAAGATTAAAAACGTGTCTTATGTGTTTGATGCTAACACGGTTTATCATGATGCACATAAAAACAAAATTAAATGGTACCACTCCAACTTCAAAAATTAAAGTTAGTCAAAAAAAAAAAAATTTTAGATCAGATACATCAGAGTATTCAGTGTTCCGGCACATATATTAAGATATTAGTACAAAAACTTATGTAATACTGACACATCATATTGAAGGCGTGTTCGGTGTATGGTTGATGCTGATTATGATTATGAGAAATGACTTTTGTAGGCTTGGAATATTAGTTGATTTCTTTTCTCATTCTACCATTACTGGCTTCATGGGAGGTACTGCAGTGATTCTCATCCTTCAACAACTAAAGGGTATTTTGGGATTGAAACATTTTTCAACCAAAACCAATGTTGTATCAGTGATAGAGGCCATCTTCACCAATAGACGTGAGGTTAGTATTAAAAATTAACACTTTTTTTCTGGCTCATCCAAATAATAAGAGGTTAATTAGCATGCTATTTGATTGATTAAAATAAATAAATAATTTAACAAACTATACCCCATTTTTGGCAAATTAACTTGTGAAAGTATTACGCGGATTACGGTTTTTAACGAGTGTTGCGAATTATGTGACTATAATTTAAAAGTGAATATAACAATTTACATTTACTATTTAAATTGAAATTCATAACTAATAATTTTTTGAGAACAAAAGAATAGTTTTTTATGTTTATTTTTGTGTCGAAATAACTTGTGAAATTCTTATTTTACTATTTTAACAGATAAGATGGGAAACAACAGTTCTTGGAATAATCTTCCTTATTTTCTTGCAATTTACAAGGCACTTGGTAAGTGCTTTATTTGGTAGTATTATATATAGTCATTCTCATTTCAACTTTTGCTTTTCCATATAATAGAAATGTTAAAAATATCACGTGCGATAATATATGATATGAAAATGTATTTATAAGTGGGGTAATTTTTATCTTACCAACTGATTTGTAGAATTGAGTATAATTGAGTTAGGATCAACCATATTTCTTCATATGATATCGAGTGACTCTTATTAGATTTCTGCTATCAAGTTACTTATCATTTATTTTCACGCTCTAAATATTCAATTCTAAACGTGAGAGGGTGTTTATAAATGAGGTCACTCACCATTTATTTCTACGCTATAGATATCCAGTTATGTGTGTGAAAAGATGATTATAAATGAAAGTAATTTTCACTTTACCAATCAACTTTATAGAATTGAATTAGGCCCCAGTATATTTATTAACAAGAAAAAATGGCCTGATATAAAAAACGTTTTAGTTTACCACTTAAAACTAGCAATATTTCACCAAATTATTTATATTTTTAAATTAATAGACATGAATTTTAGCATTTTCTAATTGATTTTATTTTTTTAAATATAATATTTTAGAGGGTTAAAAAACCAAAACTCTTTTGGGTATCTGCTATAGCTCCAATGACAACTGTAGTAGTTGGTGGCATTTTTACCTATCTTGTCAAAGGTCCAACACATGGAATTCAAATTGTAAGTTCTAAATAATAATAACTTTATTTTTTGTTTTCTTAGCATTTTATTTATATAAAATAAAACTTTGCTTTTTGTTATTATATTTGATATTATTTATACTATATCTATAGGTGGGGCATTTAGATAAAGGATTGAACCCATGGTCAATTCAATATTTGAATTTTGATAGAAGATATTTACCAGCGGTGTTAAGAGCTGGTTTAATCACTGGAGTTTTGTCATTAGCGGTAATGAATTAATTAAATCTCTCTAATTTATCATCATAATCAATATTTTTTTATTAATTAATTTTTTTTGGTATATTATATATATATATAGGAAGGAATAGCCATAGGAAGAAGCTTTTCTGTTACTGATAATACACCTCATGATGGAAACAAAGAGATGATAGCTTTTGGACTTATGAATTTACTTGGTTCTTTTACATCATGTTACTTAACTAGTGGTAAGTTTAATTTTTATTCAAATAATAATAATAATAATAACAACACTAATATTTTTTATAAAAGAAATCAATATCAAGGAAGAAACTTGGCCAAACGGTAAGATTGTTGCCTTATGATGTAATTTAAAAGTCTAGTTCAAATTTTAAAGGTTTTAGATACAAATTCTATTAGATGTTAACAATTTTTGTATTGTGACGATTTATAGAAAACTTTTTCTTGGGTTTTAAACGAGATCTTTTGTTAATGGACGGTAGATTTGATCCGTTGGAATTATAAATGACTCATAAATTTGTAAATTTGCAGGACCATTTTCCAAGACTGCCGTGAATTATAATGCAGGGTGTAAAAGTGCAATGACAAATGTGGTACAAGCAATTTTAATGGCTCTCACACTACAATTTTTGGCACCATTATTTGGCAACACACCACTTGTTGCTCTATCAGCTATTATTGTGTCTGCAATGTTGGGGCTCATAAATTATGAAGAGGCTATTTACCTCTTTAAAGTTGATAAATTTGATTTTGTTATTTGCATGAGTGCTTTTTTAGGTGTTGCCTTTATAAGCATGGATATGGGCCTTATGATCTCTGTGAGTATTTTTTTTATTTTCACTCATTTTTCAATTTTGGTTCAAGTTAGTCGGTAATTATGCAGAGATATCAGATAGATACAGTAGTACGAATTTGAATCCGTTACATTTTATCTGTTCAATTTTTTTTATCACGTGACTGAAATTCACCTCTTAAAACTAAACAAGTGCTCGTGGATTTGAATTTGCGCCCATACGTTTAATATTCTTACACATCTACCGACTAACCTGATTTAATTTAATTTGGTAGATCAAATTTTTATGAATTATTATTTTGAATATAGGTTGGACTAGGTTTGGTTAGAGGACTACTATATTTGGCTAGACCTGCATCATGCAAACTTGGAAAATTATCTGACTCTGGAATATACAGAGATGTTGAACAATATTCTAATGCTTCAAGATTTCCAGGAGTTTTAGCTTTACAAATTGGTTCTCCTGTTTACTTTTCAAATTCTACTTATCTCAAAGAAAGGTAATTAATTAAATTTTATATTCACTTATTAATGGTCGTATAAAATGATCTTTTGATATATACATATACATCTTAATTGAAGAAATTTAAAATGTCTTTAAATTGGATATTAGGATTTTGAGATATGTTAAAAGCGAACAAATCTCTTGTGGAGATGTCGTCGAACATGTTATACTCGATTTTACAGGTAAAATAATTATTTTTTGGTCTTTGTAGTATGTTGTTTTATTTTTGTTTTGTAATTATTTTAATATATATGTAATATTCATTTTGGTTTGTATTTCATATGCATATAATTATATTAGGAAATTTGTCACTAAATTCTTTATTTCACCATAAAATTTAATAATAAATAAAAAAAATTATGAAATATATTTTTCAGTCATTAACTCATTTAAAATTTTTTATATATAGCAACTCTTATTGAAAATTTTATATCATGCATGGATATAAATTTTTCCCTTTTTTAATGTTTATTATTCAGGAGTAAATTCCATTGACACAACCGGTATTGAAGGATTATTGGAAACAAATAAAGTGTTAGAAAGAAAAGGAATTCAGGTATCATTTGCATCTCATGCCTTTGTAGTCGATTTTTATTATTAGAAAAAATTGAACTAAATACAACTAGAAATTGAAAAATATATAATCTATCTCTAATTTTATTACTACATTTAATGTTCATTTTCTGCAGATTATATAAATAAAACTAATTTTAATATATGATAATTTAGAGATAAAATTTTAAAAATTTATTTTAAGAAAAATAAAAAGGTAGTTTTTGTTTGTTCACCACGATAAAAATTATAATTTTGAAAAATGATTGTCTGAATAAACTACTACGCAAAACTACATTTTCTTTTTCATTTCTAATTATAAATTTTTTAAAAACAAATATGTAATATATTTTATTTTTCTTTAATGATTGTTGTTATTTAAATTTGTATAGTAATATCAAAATTGATTTGTATAAATATAAATTGAATTACTAAATGAAGCTTCTATCTATATTAATATTTCTTATCATATTGTTATTATATAGATGTTATTAGTAAATCCAAGGCTAGAGGTTATGGAGAAGCTAATACTATCAAAGTTTGTTGACAAGATTGGAAAGGAAAAATTCTATCTAAATTTGGACGATGCAGTGGTGGCAAGTCAATATTCACTCAGAAACTCTAAGACAAATAATAATGAAGAGGCAATTTAACAGATCTCGTTTGCAAAAATAAATTAATAAATCAAAATTAAGTTGTACACACTTTGATTGTTATAATCTTTTTGTATCAATGTTGTATAACATTACTTTTGATATAATTGAGAATGTGTTCATTAATTTTATTTCTTTTCTTTTCATATCTCATGACTTTGTAGCCGTTTTCACTATTAGAAAAAATTGAACTCTTGGAAAATATATAATCCATCGCTAATTTTGTTACTATATTTAATGTTCATTTCCTGCCAATTATATAAATAAAAAGAATTTTTATATTAAATTATTTATAAATTAATTTTGAAACAACTATTATAAGAAAAAGAAGAAGCTAGTTTGTGTTTGGTCATCTTAGACATTATAATTTTAAAAAATGATTGTCCGAATAAACTATTCAAAACAACACTTTTTTTTTCTTTTCTAACTATCTTTAAAAAAAACAAATATGTAACAAAAGGGGGGATGAAAACTTATAAATGTGATTATTTTGTTTTAAAACATTTTTGTTATGATAATAAAAAAAAATGTAACAAACAAAACCAACGTAAAAGTGAACAAAAGACAATTTTTTATTTTTCATCAATGTAGTATCAAAATTGATTTGCATAAATATAAATTGAATATTTAAATGAAGCTTCTATCTATATTACTATTTTTCTTTTCATATTATTATAATATCAATTGTAAGTTAAGAGCAAGTTCTGGTTATGGAGAATTTAATATCGTAAAAGTTTGTTAAAAAGATTAGGAAAGAATCATTATACTTTTTCTGTCTTAAAATAAAAATCTTTTAAATTTTTTTTTATAAATAAAAAAATGACTAAATAAATAAAAATACTAGAGGTATTTCAACTCAAATACAACGATTATACTATATATATATATATATATATATATATATATATATATATATATATATATATATATATATATATATATATATATATATATATATATATATATATATATATATATATATATATATATATATATATATATATATATATATATATATATATATATATATATATATATATATATATATATATATATATATATATATATATATTACAACAGTCCTAAATTAAAAGAACTTTCGCAAAAAATTACATCAATCGTAATAACTATATAAAGTATTCTTGAAAAGCTACTACCAAAAATTAAGTACAATTGAGTAAATAAATTTGCTTCATATTTAATTTATGCACAGAGTTTTTTTCCTATTCTTCGTATGTACTTCCAGCGTTGAAGAAATTCTTTTTGGGATACAATTATTATATTCTTAATTAGTTAATTATTGAAATAACATATAATATAGAATTTTTCACCCATATACCCTACAAAACACCCCCTAAATTCCAAACTACCCAACATTTCCCCATATATCCCAATCTACCCATGTTTGGGTTTTTTTTTTTTTTAGTTTTATACAAGGGGGCGCCATGGGGGATGGAGCCTCCCTTATAATTTGTATGGGGGCGCCATGGGGGTTGGAGTCACCCTACAAATTATAAAGGGGCGCCATACCCCTTGGAGCCTCCCTTAAATGCCCTAAAGGGGGGCGCCATGCCCCATGGAGCCTTCTTTAAACGAAATTTTCAAAATCAAAAATATTATAATTAATAGAATTAAAATTTAATATTATGTTATTCCAAAATTTTTTTTATAAATAGGTAGAGTTGTTGGTAACATTGGTTCATCCAAATTTAGAAGAGTTGGTAACATTGGTATTTTGAATGATATGCGTTGTTACTCTAGAAGTATTTCAATTTGTGTATGTGGTAACCAAAAGTTGTTATAAATATTAAATTCCAAGGTTACACATTTTTTAATTTAAATGACAAAAGTAAATCTATCTAGAACTTGTTCCAACATTTGGACAATTATTCCTCGTATGCCCGGGAAGACGACATATTCCGCACAATCTTTCCATTTTCTCAGTTGTATCCATTTCAGTTGTAATTCAGGTGCTTTTTGGGCGGCCCTTTTTGTTTCTTCTCATATTTTCGTTGTGGTAGATTGTGTCTCCATGATATGTTGGCCAATAGTCCTCACTAGCTACCACTGGAAAACTGTTATTGTAGATACCGAATAAGTTCACAACCTTGTAAACATCTGATAGCAGCAAGAATGGATCGTGAGGAGCACTGGAACATGCGGCAATGACATGTGAACAAGGCATGCGGAAGGTTTGAAACTTTCCGCAGTCGCACCAATTTTTATGAAGTTCCACCCTGTAGTGTCCCATTGGCCGACCCTCGTTGTGATCCATTGTCTCGTCAACAATGAAGCTGTAATCGTGACGATCAAATGGTCTGACTCGATGTGAGGCTGCCTTAGAAGTTTCATCCTTCATATATTTCATACTTGATTCGTTGAATAATTGCCCTGATTGCAAAACAGCGCTCCATTTTTTGCCTCTTGACGCAAAAAGTGAGCCCAATCTGTAATAGGTAGCTCTTACCAACGCAGTGATGGGGAGGTTCCTAGTTCCCTTAAATACGCCGTTTAGGGATTCTACAAGATTTGTGGTCATGTGACCCCATCTGCATCCTCCATCAAAAGCCCTTGTCCATTTCTCGACTGGAATGTTATCCACCCATCTTAATGCTTCTGCGCTCGACAATCTTATTTCTTCACGGTAATACATGAACGATGGTTGGTTTAAGGAATACCCAGCGTTCACAACTTTTTTCCGGAGATTTCTGTCCTTAATGTCCCGCATAAAATTCTGGGCAATGTGTCTTATGCAAAAGACATGGACAAAAGGAGGATTGTGCCAACCATTTGCAGGATTGTTGTAGGCGCTCACAATGGAAGCATGTCTGTCGGAAATCAGACATAAGTTGGGTTGAGGAGCAACATGTGTTCTAAGATTTCTAAGGAAGAAACTCCAAGCTTCGCCTGTCTCACCCTCGACCAAGGCAAAGGCAATCGGAAATATATTATTATTTCCGTCTTGTGCAACCGCCATCAACAATGTTCCTTTGTATTTTCCATACAACCATGTTCCATCGACTTGAATAACCGGTTTGCAGAACACAAAACCTTTGATACATGGTTGAAATACCCAAAAGAGCTGAGAAAATATCCTACTTCCATCAACGCATGTTCCCTCAGGAGTGTATGCTGGTAGTGACTCCAATATTACAACCGTGCCAGGAACATATTTCTGCAGTGCTAGTAAAAACTGTGGAAGTTGATTGTAAGATTTTTCCCAATTCCCATATACATGTTCGATCGCTTTTATTCTTCCAATCCAAGCTTTCCTGTACGACGGGGTATAGTTGAACCGTGCAACAACATGAGAGATAATTGTGCTAACCTTCACAGATGGATCTACGCCCACAAGATGCAAAATCTCTTGTGATATCAATTGAGAGCTTAGTTTTCCATAATCTTGCCGATTGATGTTGGTTGTGCAACTATGAGGTGGGTCCATCGAACCTATCACCCAACAGTCACTTCTTTTTCGATAGGACGCTGCTAACCGAAACTTGCAACCTTCGTTACGACAAACTACGACATAGCGTTTTGAGTCGTTCCGATTGATGTAAAAATCAACGAAGTTATCCATATGAAACTTTCTTATAGCTTTCATGCACTCATCTTTTGTGCGGTACTGGTTTCCCACTTTCAAAACACCTTCAATTTGTTGAGAAGGATTGTAGAAATAATCCGAGGAAGTATCGTCTCCACTGAATTGCAAGTTCGTCATGTGTTAGGGAGGACAATACACTTGATTTAATGGTACTGCCTCTTCATCTATGTCTTGCAGTGGAGTCATTGCTGTGTAGTCCCCAGTCCCGAACAAATTAACCATTTGATCAACCATGACCTCTGGTTCTTCTTCCTCCTCGTCCACAACATCAACTTCGTCTATACCCGTTGTTTCGCCAACCTCGTGTTCAGCTTGGCAGAGTAACAGATAAACCTCGATATAGTCGAACCAGAGTGTTCGTGACTATCAAACATTTGATCTACATCGCTGTCGTCTTGTATTTTCTCTTCAAAATATTTGACCTGATTGTTGTCAAAAAAAACGGGACTTCTGTAAATGATTTGAGAGACTGGACCAGACAATATCTTCGACTTTATTCGCTCTTTGAAATGCAAAAAATTTGCTTTTCTACTCATTGTTAATCGGGTAACATATGTATTTTAAAACCCAAAACCCGAATTCTCAGAGATGAATGTCTCTCCATTAAAATGGGTATGAACAATATAATTTGTTGTTCTAGACATATTTGTTGTTTTAGGGGGGGGTTTTGTAGGGTATTTGGGTGAAAAATTCGTGTTTCTATACAATGAGATGTATACTATTTTTTGCTTGAATGTATACATATAGATTAAAATCTCACGAATTAAATATTATTAAAACTATAAGGGGGGCGCCGTGGGGGATGGAGCCCCTTCTTTAAATTATAAGGGGGGCGCCGTGGGGGATTGAGCCCCTATGACACGTGTAAAAAAAGTAACTTTATGCATGCATGCAGTATGACAAGTGTACGAATTCATCTATCAATATTTCTACACATCAATCTCTTTTTTACACAAATTCAACTATCTCATTAATATCAATAAATATTTCAACTACACAAATTTAATTTTTACCTCTACAACCATAAATTCAAATTTCTAATTTCTAATTTCTAATTTCTAAATTTCAACTATAAATACTTCTCCTCTTCATTCTAAAAAACACATCAAATATATTCAACAATTCAAATTCTCCCAATATTTTCCTCATATATTCACATTATAGAAGTCATGTCTCTGTTAACAATGGGTGAAACTCATCGAGGAACACCAAGCAACATCGCGTCGTATGTAAGTATTTCTACTTTATAGAAGTCATGTCTCTGTTAACAATGGGTGAAACGCATCGAGGAACACCAAGCAACATCGCGTCGTATGTAAGTATTTCTACTTGATAATTCACAATGTTGTATTTATTCGTAGCATTATAATGCATTTACAATGTTCTAATGATATGT